TTTGAAGAAACAGGAATCAGCATTTTTTTTTACAAATGAATCCCAAATACAAACACAAAAGCACTCAAAACAAATTTATTCCTAAATAAATCCATGTCTAGGAAAGTATGAATGAAATGGTTTTATGAAGATATAAAAAAAGAGCAGCCTACAGATTGTATTAATGGGCCCAAGATTCAAAGATAGAAAGAGTATACTGAGCACAGATTCAGGCACAGATTAAAACAGATGTTAAAACTGCTATTAATAAATTAGAGAATAACACTGCAGGACAGGCAAATAGTGCAAAGCATTTTTTAGTGTTACAAAAGAAAAAAAAACTGTAAAAGTTGAAGCAAATAGTTTACAAGATGATAGGAGGTTGATAATTGAAGACGATAAAGATATAGTGAACATGTTAACTGAATTTGGTAAAGTCTGCATCTTTAAGGCTCCTTAGAACATAATACCATGAAACACACATGCCTAAAATATACTGAATGTAGACAGGTTTTTACCTTAACTATAATGGATTAACAAAATCCTATACTCATGATACAATATACAGTACTTCAATGTACAGTACATGTAACCTCATACTTGGAATCAGGGTGTTATAATAAATTAATATCTGGGAGAAGTAATTAAGGGATGCCATTTTTTTTTCAAATGTAACAGTAATTTATTGCTGTCTGGTTTCAAATTGCTATCATTGTGTAAGCACAAACATTCATGTCCATATATCTGGAAAACCAATTCAACTGCATGGCTTGTCCAAGCCATTTCCTAAGTGACTATAATTAAGACTGTTGCTAGGAAATAAATGACTTCAGAACAGATGTTGGTATTTTCAGCATTCATTGTGGAATCTTCTGTTCACAGGGTGCATTTCATTTAGAACAGTTCAATAAAAAAGCAAAGCTATCAGGAGGACCAAAGAGACACTCAGGTATTTAAATTTATCAGTGCACCAGAGCAGTAATGATGAGTAGCAGTGATAATCAGCATTTCTCCTGTGCAATTTGAGAAATGGATATACTTAAATGATGAAAGAGAGAGAATACAATTGATTGAAAACTGAAATTAGAACTAAAATCTAATTTGGTAAAGTCTGCATCTTTGAGGGTTCTTAGAACATAATAGCATGAAACACATACAGTATGCCTAAAATATACTGAATGTACTTAAAGTCATCAATTACATTTCAATCAGAGAAAGATTGTACAGTTGGAAAGATATATTGGTGGGATAAAACCTGAATTTTGAACTGTACTGGGGTAATAATGAACATTTATAATCCCATTTTGTCTGGAACTTAGGAATCTATGATCAGCAACAAGGTGAAATATATCAATAAATATAAATAAAATAAATATACTGAAAATGTACATAAAATTTACCAGAAATAAGAGAAGACTGTAATGTCCCCTTCAATTATGCCACTTCAAAGATGGGAAAAGCTATAGCTACCTGGTTCTGAGGGATGTAAAAGGATTCTGAACGATTACTGATCACAGATAAAAGCTGTTGTTTACATAAATTTCCTCTGTGATGTATTAAAAAAGAAAATCACCACAAAAATGAGCATGAACCCTTAATAGGTTTTCCTGGAGACCATATTACGTAGTTACATTAAAAGCAGTGCACCCATGGAGTCAAATCAAATTAGAATTCTGCAGCATAAAACACAATATACAGTGAAGGACTTTGTTTCCCCTCTTCAATAAAATATTTTATAACTATAATTTAAACATTCTCAAATTGATTACATTACACAAAAGGTTTTTATATTTGAGATTGTTTACCTGGATATGCCTAGGCTAGGAGGCAAGTGAACAGACACATGAGCAAGTCATTAAGACCACCATATTAAACATATTACTGTATATAGCAGTGGGAGGTTAAGCTAGTCTCCATAGGAATGAACCATAGATAAGACCACTAACATAAAATTTATATTTACTACAATAATCACTGACTACAGTGACCACAGCAACAATACTAAACAATGATTACTGGGAATAACAAAGTTGTCACTGTAATTTGCAAAACAGCCTTTTTTTCCTAACTCATTTGCTATATAAATGTTTTAGGTCAGGTATAAAAAGGGAAAACCTACATACAGTAGCAATGTGGCTTCGGTTCACTAGGAATAATATGTGACAATCCAAGGTATTCATTAATGGATTCGTTTTAATTCCTACAATCCTCTTAAATCTCTGCATCTGTAGTTACTCTATAAACCCCAGTACTGAAGGACCACTTTGTTTTCTGATGCTTTCTTGTTAACTTTATTCTTAATCACAGAGGATAACTAATCCATGTAATTGAAAATTATGCTTGACTTCACCTTTGTAACCGGTTTCTAATCTCACTGTTTGGCTTCAAAGATACTATGCTGCATTTTTTTGGCTGTTGAAGAAATTTAGCAAATGGAGCCATTCTTTCCCCAGTTACTTTTTAAGTTGCCCTCTTACTTCACCCTAAACAACTTTTAATAGCTGAGCAGTTTATGATGAACAGATAGAGACAGAAATATCACTGTAACAAACAATTAATTACATTCCACATACTGTACTGTATTTTAAAGAGGGTAGGCTTGAAACCTGGAAATTGGTTAAGGATTGGTAGTAATTTTTTTGCCACATCCAGGTCCTTAACTGCTGAGGAAAGGAAATTGTTTGCTTTGATCAGGATCAGCATTGCAAACCATTGCACTACACCACCATGTTTTCAGCTACAGTACTTATTAGCTTCCTTCTGCTGGGGTATGCCAATGCCACTCCTTCAAACTCTTTTTGACATAGCTTCTTGGATCTGCTTCTTGATTGTTCTTTCCCCTAGCAGTCATGATTTGTTCACTTGATTAAAACCTTACAAGACATATTATACCAGCACACAGGTCCAAAGTCTTTGCATAAATACAAGTGTGTTTAGGTCTGAGACTAGTGAAGAAGCTCACAAAAGGATCTTCAAGGTTAATATGTTTTTATTTCTGATAAAAACACAAGATTACACATCCCCCACTTTCTTTTTCAATCTATGCAGCATGAATAAATGTTTCTTTCAGAAAATAGTTTTCCTTACAGGAGCCTTTGTTTTTTTATTTAAAATATTTAGCAACAAGTGAATGTTTTCCTTTTGTCTCTACATGTTTTCTTTGTGGTTGGCTGTAACAATGGGAATCAAGGTTGTGAAGAAGACTACTGCACATTCCTTTGTGCAAATCGCACATGTGTATGTATTCGCACTGCTATTTGAATTTTTTAGTGCCTATCAAGAATAAATGCAATGTTCTACGCCTGCTAAATGTACTGTACTCACTCTCCTCTTACAGTAAATGCAACCTGGATTATGAGGGCTAACAGCTCCTCTCAGCATTAAAATTTTCAAAGGCACCATTAGCAAAGAGCTTTCAACATTATCACTATCATAAATAGCAATAATACAAGCAGCTCACACTAGATCGCCCACTGCAGTATGTATTTAAGTATGCATGAGCAAACAGGAATTGTATTTGCAGAAAAAAATATGAAAAGCTTATATTACATACTGGAATAAAATGAAATCCAATTAAAGTTCCATAGTATTAAAAAGGGACCATGCTCTTTTGAACACCTAGTCAAAAGCAATGAATTCCTAAGGGGAAAGAAGCTTCACATGTCAAATTAATTATCTAAATTACTGACAAACATCTACCTAAAGTATAAGAAGGCATGACCCATGAACAGTCATAAAAGTCTTATTAAGCGTGCTGGGAACATATGCCCTAGCTGACAGTAAGCATAATGATTTGACCCAGGTCAGTGGAATCCCAGGAGATTTTTTTCTTAGCCTTTTTTCTTCATGATAATGTTTCCTTTTTTTTAACATGCAGTTTCAATGCACTCCAATTACCAGAATGGGAAGCAGTATTTTTTCCAATTCTGTGAATTATATCTGAGAATATTTTGAAAGCTACCAGTCTTGCATGTCTGTACCTGGGCCGTGAGTGAAGAAATATTAAATACTATGCTTCAATTGTATAGTTTGTACAGTTCACACATTAATGCAGCAAGTGCTGTAGCTGATAACAATGAGTGAAAATTAATTAAACTTATAACAGCTTTTTATTGGCATAAATGGATCTTATTCATGAACATCTTCTAGGTCTTCGGGTGTTCCTGCTTAAAAAGAGACAAAAAAACAGATACACCTTCTATCCAGGGTCAGACATGAAAAATCCAGTCTTAAACACCGAGATACTCTCACTCAAGGTAACCAAATGGCTCAAAGTTTTTAAAATCTATCCAAAAGGAATCTGCTCCTGTGCTGAAACGTCTGCCTATTATATTACCAAAATATTAGTTCCAATTTTTGAATTACATACTGTATTTAGATTAAATGTTCTCTCATGTTGTTACTGTTCTTTCCTCCACAAAACAGTGCAAAAGACAGTGCTAAATCAGTTGCACAAATGTTTAACACAAAGCAGTCTTGTTGCAAAAGAAACTGACATCATAACAATCAATAATTAATAAACCAAAATGCAAAGTACTCTAGGTATGCAATGCCAAGTATCTTAGAAAGTTCCCTACTTTAAATGTCAAAGTCAGCAGGAGAGAGTTTATTTCCCCTTTTTACAGGACAAGACTTATTGATGTTGACCAGTGGAGGTGGAGGAGCGCTGTGTCGTATCAAGCAAAACAAACCCCTTCACTTATTAATACGTTTTCAGTATTGCAAGCAGACTCCTTTGGTGCTGTTTGAATGCAGAATTACATTAATACTGAAAGAACATGTTGCTGGTGAGACACCTACCGTATGACACTGAAAGTATTAAAATTCCCTGCAGGATGTTTGATCTGGCTGTCAGCCCTTTTGAAATCAATTTTATTAAGGAACTGATTTTGTATGTTTCACCTACCAAACTTGCATCAACACAATTTCTTTGGGACTGTCTCCTTATCCATAAATAAAATAAACATACATTAATCCATCATCATCTGCTCGAAATAATTAATAGAATTGTGGATACTTACCAGGGTTTCTTGCATATGTTTCTGCATCTCTGTATGGCCGTGTTTCTCAGCAAGCTTCAGAGGGTTATCTCCGTCTTTATTCATCATTTTGATAGCTTGGTAAGCTCCAGGACATTGTAAGAGCAGACTGGCCAAATTCTTCAATCCATTTTTTGCCGCAAAGTGAAGGAGAGTCGGTAGATCATCTGAATGTTCAGCTATCAATAAAGGAAATTAGATAATTTAAAGAAAAATGTGCAAGTCTTGGAGGGTGATTATACTCTAATACTTAAAGAATGGATTAAAGAGGGAAGAACCAAGCCAGGTGAAGTCCATTTTCTAATTGGGCAAGAATTTTGTTTGGTAGCTAGCAGTTGATATATCCAGTAATTTGCCTTTGTTTGCCTTTAAATAAAAATAAACTCTTCTTTAATCTTTATCTATGATAGCTGCTAGCCTAGTTTACAAAGCAGTATTTCAAGAGGAGTTGAAAAGGTGTTATTTACAGTATGTACAGGAAGGCTAACATTATTTCAGCCATTTGTCCATGTACAGTAGTCATCTCCAAAATACAGTTTTCTGCATAAAGTACATCACACGTAGTGTATAATACATTAGATAATTTTGTGTACATGTGGAGCATTCTAGAGGAACTCTAAACCCAAGCTACATCTGCCTAATTTTCACATAGAAACCAAAAAGGTTAATACACTGGAGAACTGTTAGGCCGGAGCGTCGCTAAATGAGCTGAGACCAACAGTATGCGAAGCGAGTGTCCGAGATGGCAAACGAGTCCGTGAGGCATAGTCCAAAAGAGCAAAATCCAAGGGTTGAAAGGAGAGGTCAAAATCCATTAAATCATTCAGGTGTGGTGAGAGAAAGTAAGAAGCAGCAAACTGACTAGCTTGTGACTCAAAATACTGAGCAAGGAAGTGTGGGTCAATCACTGGTCTCAACCAAGAATTGAAAAAGAAGTGGAGATGGTTGGAGATTTTATTCTCCAGAACACTGATAGTGAGATTTTCACCAGGGGCCATGAGAAGAAAATAGTTTGCTGGGTTTGTGGCAAGGAGATGATCATCCATAGAGCCTTTCCATGCAGAAAAAAATTCAAACAACTTGGCAATAAATTGAAGAACTAAATCAGCTGTTTTCTCAGGAATCCTACCAGCACTGAGCAAAGGTGAATGATTTCAAATGTTAAACTGTCAACACAAAAGATGCAGGGGAAGGCTACAAATTTCTATCATGGGAAGCCTTTCAGTTTAAATATAATGGTAGGAGAAAAATAAAGAAAATGAAAGCTACCTTGGTAGCAGCAAACAAGGGAGAACTAAAGGTAAAAACAAAACACATGAATTAAGCGCTTACACTTAAATGCTAGGAGAATACAAAACAAATTAGATAAGATGTAAGCTACCACATTAGCAGGCAATTATTTATTACTGTTTTACCACGTTGCCTTCGTCAAATGTATGTACTGTATATACATGGACTTGTAACACAACACTTCGTTTACTCCACAACATTAATACATACTGTATATATCAACAATTTAATCTATTCATATTTATCCTTCCCTTATGTGAGTGACTTTACAAAACTCTATACCAATGTCTGTTGTGACAGTGGTTGAGAACCAATGTTTTAGGCATATGGGGAGATGAGATATAAAGGATGAGAAGTACAGACTTTAAATCAAGGGAATTAATCAAAATATCATCCACTGTATTCTTTACTCGATTTTGTAAAACTTCAGATAAATCCCATTTATTATACTGTATGTTGTACCTGTGAACATCTTGTAAAAAAATGTGGTAAGTGGAATGTGTGGGATAACACTATTTTCAAAATAACTTTACAATATCTATATAAATATGTTTTTTGAAGTAAATTTAAAAACATGCAGTCATTTGGAATGACCTCACACCTGAAGAAGGCTCCACGGCCGAAACATTGTGTTCTCTTTCTTCTTTTTTTTCAGCATGGAATAAACCTATTATTTGGAATTTGGAATGCCCATCAAAACTGCACTGACGGTAAGCAATACAATAATGGTTTAATAAATATATTTTATATATCTTATAAAATTATATAATACAGGGCATAATTACTGTTTTTATCCTGTGTGGCAAGTTGGAAAATGTAGTATTTGGTCCAGGTATTTGACTCACACACCAAATGAAAAACAACAGTGCAGCACATGCTTTTCTTGGTACTTCCAGTTCTGTTTTAAACACTTACAGAAACTGAATATTACCTTAGAAATGTAAAATTAATAAATGCCACTCACAAAAACCACATGTATGGTAAATATTTGTCTTTGGTCTTTATCCCATCACTTCACAGCTACTCAAATTACTGTACCATGTATAATAAGAGGGGACCTGCAGGACTCTTAATGGAAGCCTACTGTATATTGTGTATAAATGCAAACATTGTGTAAATAATATTGCCCAAATATATTAATATATTGCAATATATACACAATAATATTACTACATGCAAAGTTTAACTTTCATTAACAAAAAATATTGTCACACTGCTCTTTGTGCAAATAAGTATAAAGGAGCACATATAATGTATTTTGTGTAGAATGCATGAAGTATAACGCCCTTGGCCTCTATCACAAAGTAAATTTACTGTTAGCTGAATATCTAAAAAATAACATATAGTCTGTTGTGAATGCAATGTGTTTTTTTCAGGTTTACATGCACATTAATAACATAACGTAATATTTTGTCTTAATGAAAATTATACAATCTAAATGATAGAATGAAACTAAAAATAAACATGAAAATATTTGTTTTTTTTTGTGAAATATTTTATACAGTACATAATGTAAAAATTCGGGACTGGGTAAACATGTTCCCTGCACTCAATTACTGTACTTAGTGTCATGCCTGGACTCTGACTGGCTTGCTGCCTGCAGTTACCACAGGAAACTGTAGTCTTCCAATGAGTGCTCATTTTACATCCGACCCGTTGAGGACTAGGTTGGGCTACTTATCTGTTTGTCTGGCTCCCATTCAATCAAGGAGTCAATCTTACAATCAAGCCTGCAATTATCCACCACAGTTAGGGCCTGAAACACTTTTAGACCAGTGCTCAGAGATTGAGCTACTGAGAGTAGTGTAACAAGCAACCCCGCGCTTGGACACCTATTCTTGCAATCACCAAAGACCGTATCTTGGTATCAGCATCTGTCCAGTGGTGAATATACCCTACCAGCCTGCAAGCATTTGACTGTTTCCCGGGCAGCCCTATTCTTGTCAATCTCCCACAGTCTGCCTGTTCTCCAGGCAGCCCTGTACCATGTCTGTCACCCGCTTGTCTACCACCTGCCAGTAAACATCTCGCAGTCCTTTCACCTCAGCCAAGCGCCCTGTCATCGTTGGCTCTTCTTAGAACCCAGCAGAGAAGCCTGGGTCCTGCACTGTCTTTAAGACTGCTGCAGTGAACTGCAGTCATCTGCTGAGTAACACTTCGCACTACAAATCCCAGCAGCGGATCTCAAGCGTGGACAAGTGTTCTATAAAGCACTGTATTTCATGGTCACTGGATTAAGACAAGTGTTCTTTTGCTGTGGTTTTTCCACACAGTACCGTAGAATACCAATTATAAGTAAAAGTCTGGCTGTTCTCTTTCAAAAAGCAAGATCAAATTCTATCCGGTTAAGTAACTATAGCAACAAATCCTTTATTCCTAACATGCTCCAAGGTACTTTTAAAAATATAAGAAATGTGACTGTTCACACTCAAAGCCAATGGGGTTAGCTTCAATTTAAGACCTGAATCAGGCTCCTGCTATGTTCTGCTGTAGAGATATAACAAAATGGTTAAGGGGAGGAAATTCCAGGCAGACATACAGTAGGCTAAAAGGGTCTTTGCCACTAACAGGTTTTAAACTGGGACTGACTTATGGTTAAGAGCTCAACTAAGAGACCAATCAGCCAACTGCAAAAAATGACATCACCTTTCTTCAGGAATCCATCTAAAATTGAAGCAGCTGTCTGGAGAGCTTCTGTATGTGAAGAGAAGGAATATTTAGAGATTGCCAAAACCCTTTAGTGTTTGCTGATAATCTTTATTTGAAAAATACTGTTTCAGCAGATATACTACTTGGGTATACTTTACATTTACGGCCTCTTAAGCCCATAGCTGCTACCAAATACCAAATGAGACGTGCCAAAATTGAGGATTGACATTCCCAGGAGGGAAAGGGGAAATGTGTTGTGCGAGAAAGTGCTTCAGGATTTTTGCAAAGCCAAATGATTATAAAAACTTTAATTATATTAAGTACTAAGAAGAAAAAAAAACATATCTAATTTTCTGAATGTAATATGTTCTGTGTGTTTGGACTGGACATCTCTGGTTTTATTTTCTTTGAAACCACAGATGTTTAACAGATGTGAATTATTTTTAAACATTGTATTTAAATTACCTAATTAAATTTTAGTAACCTTAGCTTTATGTTTATGGGCAAATACATACAGTACAGGCTAAAATACAGCATAATAGCAGTATACTGTACAGCAGTTCATACTGTTCAATGGGTATTAATATTATTTTTCTGAATATTAAGAAAATACTGATTAAGTAAAGAGAATAGAGCTAGGTTAATGTACTGTACTTACAGCATTAGTTTGCATAATAAATTAGTTTAGTTTAGTTTGCAAAGGTTAAGTAGCTTTGTATTTAAGTACAAAAGTACTTAAATAATGAACAATGCACATTAAAAAAGCATGGGAGAAAAAGAGTACATTAATTAAATGCAAAACTTAAATATGAAAAAAATATATTATTATTTCATGATAGGCTTGTTTATAATGTATGAATAAGATAATCAACCTGTGAAAGTGTATTCTCTGCAGGCCTGATTTCCCAGTGGGTGGATTTTCTTTCAGGCGTGATTGTAATGATTGGTGATAGATTGCACTATTGACCATGTTCAACAGCATAAGCATCAGATACCAAGACGGATAGCTTCAAGAATTAAATATATGCTAATCTAATCTCAACTACCTTTGCCACATCAGCATCTTTTTCTTAATACAGAGAGGCAAGCATAAAAATGATTCTCCTAATATAAAATTAAAAATTTCACTGAAATGCTAAATTTGTGATTATTGTAGAATATTCTGAATGTTTCCTTTTTGAATTTCATTAGAAGTACACATACACTTACATATATCTTATAAGGAACACCTTACAGGATC